ATGGGTAGGTATGGATTGGTCTATATTTGTTATCAGAAAAATATATAAACAGAAACCATATTCTGCATTAATAGACTAAATTACAATGAAGTTCATTTGTTTCTTTTCTTTTTTTTTTTTTTACCCAAACTTTTCTTTTCCATGTGCATCCGTCGTTAATGTATACCTGGATATGAAATCAAAATATCAGTTTAATCTAGTCTTAATATTTGTATATCTTTCTTCTGATATGAGTTATCATGGCCCGCAAACATTGTAGAGTGAATTTAGTCAAACTTTTGAATGGATTGACGTCACCTAAATATCAAAGATAGTTCAAAAACTTATGAAAAATGAATAAGCCTGTGGACCAATTGGAGCGACCATACACGTCACGTGCATGGACTTTAAAAACCCTATTCAGTCGTCTTCTTTAGTATCCTTTGTATAGAGAAACTTTATATAAAGTTCTTATCCTTATTACTATTTTTTATATGAAGAATACTAATGACATGGGCGGATCTAGGGAGGAGTGCAAGGGGAGCGCACCCCCCCCCCCCTAGATGAGCTGATATCTACTGAATTATGGGTGTTTGAGTGTGTAAGCGAAGGGAGAACCCCATCCTAAAACGAAAATCCTGGATGGTGCACCCTCTCCTAGAACAAATTCTGGATCTGTCCCTGAATGAGGACGACTTTATCAGAGATAAAGTTACATCCAAATTTACGAACGAACAACTATCGAAGATGTACGAACGTCTATCAATGTAGAGGCTTGCGACGAGAGGTGGCGACTGTATTAATTCAGTTTAACAATATTAGCAATACATACAAATAGTGTTATCTTTATACGTACCGCAGTGCAGGCTGACGAACGTCTGCAAAGCCGTCTGACTTGCAACTGAAAAAAAGAAAGAAAAACAATTAGTGCTATGTCAGTTGAATTGAAACCACGCACGAGAGAAGCAAGCTTACTGTCAATTAGGACAAAAAATATATTTCATTAATAATTACTTCCTCTCACGTGAGTATCGTCTGATAATACGTCTGGCGTTTTCCGTCCAACTTTCTACATTTAGCCAGGCGTGATAACGAAGTTGTTGCTGGAGCCGCCGTATAGAATTTCATTGACGCCGAGTGTTTCTCCGTGTTTGCGAGCGTGTTTCTGTCCAGGATCCCTATCAATAGCGGTAAACCTGGTGCTAAAGGCACGATTACGCAGAGCAATTTTCTTTGCAACTTGTCTCGCAGGTGCAATGAAGATGCAATCGTTGCCAAAAGTAGAAGCTTTTAGATTGCTGTAACTGGTCTCGCAACATTTTTCAAATTGCGCTGTAGGTTACACGCTGCAATGCTCCATGCAACTTGTGTCACAACGCCGTTGCGAGACAAGCTGCAAAGAAAATTGTTCCGTGTAGTCACGCCTGCTATTTGACATTTAATAACTTACCCGCCTTCGCAGACAGACGTAACGTTTAACGCATTTCTGTAAAAATCCATAATATTGCTATATTAGGAATCTTTATCGCATTATTGTAATATCATTGTTGATGATAATAATTCTGTAATAATAATTCTGACAACGAAAGCTACTACACATGATTTTTCAAGTATAAACTTATCGCCCTCTCACAGGACCGCTAGAATAAAATGGTATTGATTTAGCATCAAGTCAAGCTTCATTGCCTTTTTTGAAAAGGTTACAATTTTTTAACCAAAAGCAATTTCTTTTTGTAATTTGACTCAAATAAGATTTGCGTACATCTATTGATGTGAGAAACAAGACACAAGAGAATACTTACCGCGTAGCAGTTTGGTGTCGGAGAAGGAGTGGGCTCGGTGGCAGCTGTTGTAGGGGCCTCGGTGGCAGCTGTTGTAGGGGCCTCGGTGGCAGCTGTTGTAGGGGCNCTCGGTGGCAGCTGTTGTAGGGGCCTCGGTGGCAGCTGTTGTAGGGGCCTCGGTGGCAGCTGTTGTAGGGGCATCGGTGGCAGCTGTTGTAGGGGCATCGGTGGCAGCTGTTGTAGGGGCATCGGTGGCAGCTGTTGTAGGAGCCTCGGTGGTAGCGGGAGCGGCAGTCGTACTTTCATCATTCGAATCCATCTCTAGTTCTACAGAAGGAGAGTTCACTTCTTGGATTTCAGTGAATTCAGCAGCGTTGGTCGCGCGAGTCAACAGAGTTGCCAAAATGGCAATTGCCAGAGGAAGGATGACCCTCATTGATGATCTTGTCAGCCAAAAACCTATGAACAATACAAGCAATTACCAACATCTTACATGGCAAGTCCAGTACTCATTCATATCACTCATACATGTGAAACTCAAAAACAAACGATCAAATGAATGATTCTAAAAATAGCATCAAATATTCTAAAAATAGCWTTAATGATTCTAAAAATAGCGTCAGAGGAGCGCTCACTAGTGATGGGGCATGGTGATTACTTCTCTTAGTTTATTTTTTCTTGTTTAGTGGTTAAGAAATTTTTAGCCTAAAATTTTCTATTTCGACCTCATTTAAATCATTAAGAACTTGTTTTATTTAGTTTAAAAATAAAATAAAAATAAAATTAAAAATTCAGTTAACACTTTACAAATTCATAAATCAAATAGAACAAAGGGCATAAGAAGAAATAAAATAACCCAGAACTAGTTTGTTTTGTTTGTTTTGTTGCAGCGATTTAGACATAAATAAACAATAGACTGCTAGTATTTACCAGAGCTGGCTAAGCACCAGATTTCCTTAAACAAATAAGAACCCGTTTAAAAACTAAAAATGCTAAAAAGTAGGTTCTTTATCAGTCGAGCTATTGCTGTGGTATTGAGCTACGCCGAACACAAATACTGTTCGCTGATTCGATAATCAGATCGGACTGAAAGAAGAGAAGTAACCGGAAAACGTTTTTTTTTTTAATAGATACATTTGATGCTCCGGTATGCTAGACGTTTTTTAAATTTTTTGACTGGCTTATTTAAGAAATGTCGAAATAGTGCTCAATCACGGTTGAGTGGTAGGCTATTACTAGTAATCTCATATTCCTACGCTATCCTTATGGTTTGGCTTCCTGAAACACACATATACGCATACTTGACCATGGCTTTGGATATCAAAAGAAAGAGAAAAACATAGGAAACATGTAATGAAAAAAAGCTGATGGCCAAACACAATACGTGGTAAACCGGATATATGTTTATAAGTCGTTGAGCTTTAAGTCCTAAACTAAAGTTGAGAGGAAAGAAAATAAACATGTAAAATAAAGGAAAGAATTAGAAAAAAAAGAAGAAGAAGAAAAAAGAGAGGACTAGAGGAATTTTCCGAACTTTGATATTAGAGAAAGCCTTGAGAGAGAGAAACTAGAAGAAAGAAAGAAAAAAAKAAAGAAAGAGGGAAGAACAATAGATATAGAGAGAAAATAGTGAGATTTAAAGAAAAAATCATGAGATTAGTTGGGTACTTACGGATTCGAGTGGTGTCTTGTGTCCTTCGTCCTTCGCCGGCTTTAGGAAGCTTTGAAGTGTACTAGAGGTACAGGGCTGCCTACTTTTATATCCATCATTAGTTCACCCAGAACAACTTATTACTGATCTCTTTTGTTTTGAATAAACTAAATAGGCAATCAAAAAGACATTTTCAAAATGACCCGGGGCTTTTCAAGGGTCATTTCAAAACTGAAGGTCATTTATTTTCTCGCATAAATACATTAATATAGCAGGAGAAAAAATCTCAAGCAGGGTAGCGAAAATATTAAAAAAGTAATCGAGCCCCCAATTGATATTGGAGCAGTTGAAGCCTCTTTTTCCACCCTTGTGTACTGGGAAAGGGAGAGGGTGGGTGGGAGAGGAGGGGGGAGGATAAGGTAAAAAGCCAAAACTTTCCATCCTTCTTTAGCGTAAACTGATTAACCAGTACATAGACTGCTTCCATTCCTAGACTGTTTTTCATGCTCCTATACCCGTCAGAGGCGGATACATAATTTTTACAAGGGGATTCAATCTGGAGAACCGAACCACAAAAAAAAAAAAAAAAAAAAAAAAAAAAAAAAAAAAAAAAAAAAAAAAAAAAAAAAAAAAAACCAGTCTATTTTCTAAATAGAAAGTTCGTAGTTGTCATTCAGGGGGTTTGAACTAACTCCCAAGCTTCCCTAAATAAGCCCCTGCGCCTTACATTCCCCCAAGATCCTCCCCTAGATTCTCCCCTGTTCCGTTGTCGGTAAGCAAATGGATTTTGAGCGAAACTGACAAAGAGTTACACTATCCACTTGAAAAGAGACCGAAAACTTCAAGAACGCAAAAATAGACATTTAAAAACCGTCATTTGTATTATTTAGTAAAATATCTTCCGAAAAAGACAGAAATGGACGATTCATTTTGATTATATTTTCAACATTCGCTTTTATGAACGTTGGGTTTCCTGTGACTATTTTGTCGATCGAAGGTCGTTAACGGAAAAAAAGTAAAAAAATAATCGGAAAAATTAATTAAACCAATAAAACGATTAAAGCTGGAGCCCCGTAGAAGTTTTCATTCACGCGGTTTTATGAGAGAATAGATAATAGAAAACAACAGGTGCTTGATCGTAACCAACACTTTTATCGGACAACATATAGTGATCTCCCCCGTGTCACTAATTTATAAACTAACTCAGAAAGTTAATTAGAAGGATTGATAGCGTAAAAGTATTGAAAGCTCGTTGTATCCTCATTTTCACAGGTTATTTATAAAAGACGATTTGGTATCCAGCCGACTCGGCCATTCTGCATGACACTATTTCATCATTTATGTATGGTATCCACGGTATCTTTTAGGAAAAATCTATAAAGCCACTTTGGGTATCTCATCTTTTAGGAGTATGAGTATTTTGGAAAATATCCGCCGAGYATCTCCAATACTCTCACCCGGGAGTCCCCGGCTTCTTGCCGGGATTTATAGCTGGTCTTCTCTTTAAAGTCTTATCTATTTTTTAAAATAAGAGAATAGGTAGGGGATGAGGAAGTTTCGGGAAGATAACAAAGAACAACAAACAGACAAAATTGAGCTATTCAGTTATGGGACTAGAGTGACCACAGTAAATCCGTGAAACTTTAGTAATACTGAATAGCACAATTTCATGCAAATTCCATTGTTTTCTATTGCTTAACTAGCACTATTTTGTACTATTTAGTAATTAGTGTTTCACGGATTTACTGTGGTCACTCTATGGGCACGAGCCGAGTTGCTTAGTCCTTTATGAATAATAAAATAGGTCTAACTTGTACATCCACCCTCAAATATAAAGTGTTGGTTGAGGGCCGTATATATGTTAGTTAAACTTATGGTTAACGTGTATTTCGTTTCCCTTTGCAAATACAGATAATTGTATGCCAGTGTTCCGCTACTCTGTTCCCATTTCTTGTTTTATTGCTGATAAGTGTTATAAAGCATTGTCTTTCTTATCATACGTATCGGCTGTACTACCTTATTACAATAACGCTAATTATTCAATAAGGTCAAATGATTTTATATCTGAAATAAAAATAGTGGTTTACTGCTTAAATGAATTTAGTGACTGAGTTAAGGAATTTCTCACTGCATAATTTTTTCAATATTATAATTTTTTGCAATGCTCCTTCCTCCCTCCCAAAAATTAATTAAGTTACATAAAGAAAATCAGGTGATCAATCTGTCTCGTATTAGTCAACCATATTATGTTTGAGCTAATTATGTTCTCCCACTTCAAACCGAACAATCTAGGCTCCGACTAACTGTTCTGATCATTTTCAGTTTATTTTACTACATAATAGCAACTGTAGGTGGTTTGTAATTACTTTAATGTAAGAAAAACTTGAAAAACACGCCATCGATTCATTGAATGAGAAACGGCACGTCTACTACCATGGCTGTGTTTCGAAGAGCACGTTTGAAGCTTTTACTGAAGACTTTCGAGCCAGGCTCTAATTTAGCCTCCTTCGCAGGCAACTCTATAAACTCTCACATATACTATATATCTCTCTAGCGAGCGGGCTTCCTTTTCCAGCGAAAACCGAGAGTGCTGCCCCCACCCCTCACCCCCCCCCCCCCTGTCTGTTTTTTTGTTTCTTCGTTCCCAGACTCCGGCTCATTAATAGCTAGACAAACTAGAGAAACCTACAGAGCTACAGAGATGCCTGCGGAGGAGGCTAGATCTAATTTATCTTTACTAAATCAAGCCAGTGAATGAAAACAATTCCGTCTTATCCCATGCAGTCTAATGGACGGTACAATGAAATCATAATGATGACTGAAATAGAACAGGCGGAGGTCACGAAAACAAGTCAGTTACAAACGCTGCAAATGAAAGCCGCTCCAGGTCGTCGTTTTACCAGAAATATCTTAATGATTGAGTTGACGGCCGAAGTTTCGTTCAAGTAATGTAGGTGTCGGCTCTGGTTAAAGGGCGGGTGCTGTTTGATGAGCAAGATATATAAAGAAATCACACAGAGAGAACCAGCCGATGATGAGACTAATTGTTACTTTTCAGTGAAGATTGATTTTTCAGTACTAAATTTCATTAATAGAAGTTCATTTTCATGGGAACTTCGATGGCATCAAAATTACAAAGGCAAAAGTTTTCCGAGAAATGGCAGAACAATAAACTAGCAAAGATACTGTTGGATAAAGCCAGAGCGGGAGGAAAAAAGAAAGAATAATAAAAAAGAAAGAAGGAAAGGGAAAAAAGTGAACAATGGCAAAATGTAAGTAAAGTGTCGACACTAACTGGGTTGGTCTCCCTGTGTTATCCATCATGCAATTCGAGATAAAAAACCCAGCATGCATCACTGGGAAGTTTCAACATGGCGGACATATTTAATTGTAAAAACGCGGTTCGAGAATCTTGGAAATAACTCTCTCAGAAAGTAGTTTACAAGGTAGTATTTTATGTGAAAGTAATATAGCAATTTAGTCTTACACCATGAATGGGTTTTAATGTATAATTTCCGAGACTGTACATTGAGTTTTCGATGGTAGCTTTGTTCCACAGAAATATCAGTTTTCTGTCAACTAGTTCTGAAGAACTTTTCAAAGCATTCGAGAAATCTTTTTGAAAATTTTTGATGTACCTATGAGCGTGTTATCACTTAATTTATTGTTTTAAATTTCAATTAATTTTTCTCTATCAAACTTCTTTAAATTCGTTACTGATTCCCTCATTACTAGTAAAACTTCTTATTTATTTTAAGGTCCAAGATAAGCGATCATGGTTACTGTGACTATGATCTCTTATCTAGGAACCTTTAAATAAGGACTATTAATAGTGTTTAGATATTCAATTTTAAGGGTTATATAAAGATATATTATGATTACGTACTCCACTAAACAATGGTTATAGATCTGTTTTCCTATGAGTGGAAAGCATGTGGTACTGACTTACAGAACCTACATCATACGATATGCTGTAACATTGAAATGGCTTCCCATTGTCTTCCAATGATTTAAACCACGACATGTAATTATGACTGTGGTATGTTATGATGTGGCCAAAGTATGTCTAAAAATTTGCCATCTTTTTTCCTACTTATGCAAAAACTGCTATATTTGAGTGTAATTTTTGTAAGCTCCTAAATTCCTAAATAAAGCTATTATAGCTAAATACTAGGTTAGCAAGTTGTTTGCAACATTACTAATAAACTAAATTAAGATATACAAAGCCAGTAGCTCCATAAGGGGTTACATGTTGACTAACCACATTTGGTCTAAACCTACTAATGGTCTAGTCACAAATCCTACACTCTGATTGGCTGATCTACTATTGGTATATTAGCGAYAGACCACTAGTAGCGAAAAGTGTAGCTTTTGAAAACCAAAAAATGGCAAGTAACTCATGTTTTCAACCTAATTTCAATTTTTTTAATCCATTCATTTGACTGATTACAGTAATAAGATTACTGTAGTAATTATAGATTTACAGTACACATTGCTCACACAAATCTGGTCAGACTTGAGTTCCAAATTTGGTGCCAATATTTTGACAACCTGTATACTTGCTTCTCTTCTCTGAGATAAAGCTAACTGTGGATATTGCATGGTTATTTGATATTTTTCCTTTATTGTTTGTAGCATCATTACTGTCATGTCACTACCTCAGGAATCTATGATGCAGCAAGGTGCACCCCTACCTATAAAACAACAGTCAGAACGTGGGCATCATAGCACTCCACGTCGTAGTTCGTCCCGCTCAATCAAAAGGAAGAAGTTTGATGATGAACTTGTTGAGAGCAGCTTAAAGAAAGGCCCAAAGAAAGGAATGGAGTTGGGACAACCAATGGAGAAAGATCCTTTAAAGGAGTTTTTAAAGGAAAAAGAAAAGAGACCTATGGTATACTATTTAGCAATTAGTCCTCCAGCGTGAATGGGCTATTGACTCATAAGCCATGTGGGCGATAGAGCTGTTAAGTGTGATGTAATTTGAACGAAAAACAACTTCTGGGTCCAAATTAATAATTCCTTCTACAGACATTTTTCTGTGTTGTTTTTCTTCATAGCAGGATTTTCTGTTCATGTATCTAATTATTGTTGAAGGTAGAGAATAAATCCTGGGAATAAGTTGTGGCAAGATTTTAGGTATTTTCTGTGTGTTTGGACCCAGAAATGTGTAACAACTTAATAATTACCCTACAGGACTCATTGCTTCAGTCAAGTGCAACTTGTTGGTCAAATACTGTATATAGATGCAAAGGAGTTTTAGTTAGCTGCTAGATGCATGTCCTTCATGTAGCATGTGTGGCTGTGCTTTGAGAAAGAGGCCCCTCCCCTTCCTCCTCCTCTTCACCCTCTCCAAAGTGCCGCTACTCCGGCTATTCTTTACGGTACTGGGATGGTAAGACTGGCAGGATTTTTGGTAGTAGTGTATGTAAAAGTATCTATATTCCTTAGCAAGTAATGACAACTAAAAATAAATCCCCGTAATTTCATACAATGTATTGTGAGGTTTGAATGTGCAGTGTAATGAATTTGTATTTGGTCTTCTTCAGCCGCCATCAGTTAGAACAACTGGAAAGAAACAAAAGAAACCCAAGGTAACAACTGTTTGACCATTAAAGTTCATTCACTAAAATGAAATTAATTTTAAAAACAACACAACACTTTAAAATTTGAAAGACATGTTTCGACTTGTCACAAAGCCATCTTCAGTTAAGGTATTAGGATACCAAAATTGACGAATTACTCAAAAAAAAAAATCTTTTTAATTTCGTAATTTTAAACTTTTATCTTTCATATGTTTGTGAAACTTCTTGCAATTTTTGATTGGAAAAGCTAAAAATCGAAATCGTGACTTTATCAAGACCGGAAATGTACCGTCGCTTAAGGTGGCTCGACCCCCTCACGCTTGACTGCTACCTTCCACTTTTGGAATGCTAGTGCATAAACGTGTTTTATCCGATTGCAAATCTTTTTTGCACATAAGTCACATAAAGATTGAATTAATATTTGATGCAATTTTTAGTGAGATCGGACGTCATAACACGTGATTGTGATGAAATATTTGTTTTCATTTAAAAATAAATTTAGCCTTGCAGAGCGTTCAACACTAAAATGCTTCGTACCATATAATTATATACTGGATGCCTCCATTTGTGGGGATTTTTTWTTATTTCAAAAGTACAAAATTAATGAGCACCTYTTTACGGATAAGTTATCACATGTATTCAAACATTTAGCTTCTTCTCTCAATTGTAAGGAATCTGTTTCATTTGAATGTTTTAAGRTAATAGATTCTGCTGTCACTGGTTATCAGTTGAAAACAAAAGAAGCTCTTTTCATCGATAGTTGTAAACCTGAGCTTAATACTCAGGTCAAACATTTCAACACTACTATTCATATGTAATTTTATATTGGTTACTGTTTATTTTACGCTTATCTTTTTTTTAAATAATTTTCAAACCGTTGTAATTTTATCCTTTTGAAAATGCCTATATATAACCTTGTGAATTGTAATTAGCGTCACTTAACTGAAGATGGCTTTGTGACAAGTTGAAGCATGTCTTTCAAATTTAAAAGTGTTGTGTYGTTTTTAAAATTGATTTGTTCTTTTGTGCTATTACGCTCATATTAAAATGAAATTCATTATCACTATAAGTACAGGAGTCTAATCGAAGCTGAAAATTTTGCTCATTACCAGAGCAATTTCTGATCCACTTTCTCCAATCCCTGACTCTTAATGAAAATCCTGCACTACATTGCTGGCTTTTTTGTTGTGCCACACATATTTTAAATGTTGAAACATTTGATGATTACACTGTGCATGTTTGGTTATTGTTTTGTGGTTCCTTCAGTTGAACATTCATTGCACTTCACAAGGCTTCATGGACAAAGGTTGATTCACTAGCTAGAACAATATAGAAAATGAATATATGGCCCTTATTAACTCTAGAAAATAACATAAACTTCACAAACATTTCTTGTCACAAAACAGAATAATTTTGAAAATAAGATACATTGACCTAAAAGACAATAATCGTATCAGTAGAGACCCAGCATTGTATTTTTTTTTTTTTTTTGTGCGTGTTGATTCATTTCTTCACCTTTCTCTTCTTTTTTATCATATTTTTATATTATGTTTGTAGAATATTTAATAAATTATTTTGAAAAAAACAGGTAATAAATATATGTATAGATTTGCATTTTTTCTAAATTTTCCCTTAGTTATAGCCACCTTACCTTACCTCTACTACAGCTGTAGATGTTTACTGGTATTATATTGATGGTATTATAATTTTAGACACCTCAAGTTAGTAAAGATTTTGGCAGATGGCGGCCGACAGATGACCTTGCACTCATTACTGCTATACAACAGGTAAAATGATGGAAACAATTTATTCACTTATTTGATATCTCTATGAGCAGGTTCCTATTAGCTGGTCAAAAAATGAAAATTTTATAAGACTCCAGTAATGGGACAAGATAAGACAACATATTTTGTAAATAATCTTGAGACACCCCTCATCTCCTAAAATGCTTCAACAAGCAATGAACAATAATTTATGGTCAATTTTATGGAAACATTTTGAATGTCAATTTGCTTGTGACTAGGTATTTACTGTGTCTTTCTTTAATGGATCCCCCCCTCCCCTCCCCACAGTCTGAAGTTCGCGCTCATAGTGCCTTAGGTTAGGGTTGCAATTTGGGATGCAAAATCGCAAAGGTTTTGTCATCCCTGTGTAACATATCCCAAGTTCCTACACAGTGAGAGGTCATTTCTACTTTTCCTTTGATTAAAGTGCTACTACGACGAAAATCGCTCARACTTGGATTCAGCTGAAACTTCCTAARAATACTCTTTAAAGGTCCAAWAATCAAAGTATAAAGTGTTTTCTCGATATTCAGGACGAAAGTATGATATTTTTACGATTATTTTTTGGAGTTTGTGACGTCATATACTCAACATCAAACATTGCTACACATATTTCTTTGTATATAAATCCTTAATTTATTTTATTCCTATRAAGCCCAAAGGGTGGCTAATGTGCTTATTTCACATTACTTGTGACTATAATTTATATTTTGGGGTATTTGGGTATTTCTTTCTCAGTTTACTACTGATATTTTGATCATAAACTACAAAGAAATGTATGGAGCGATGTTCGATGTTGAGTGTATGACGTCACAGACTCCAAAAAATAATCGTAAAAATATCATACTTTCGTCCTGAATATCGAGAAAACACTTCATACAGTGATTATTGGACCTTTAAAGAGTATTCTTATGAAGTTTCAGCTGAATCCAAGTTTGAGCGATTTTCGTCGTAGTAGCACTTTAAACATTGGCAAACTATGTAACATAATGCCCCTGATAGTAATTACATGTTGAAATTTTGCAGTATTCACAGTAATATAACAATAAACACCCAAAGAATCRTGGTCAACTCAGTGTGCGTCCATTGAGTTGATATGGAAGGCTGCTGAAAATGAGAGGAGCATTATAAATACACATGCATGCTATTACTTAATGAACACACATCTCGAGTGTTGACCATTTCCTTCATAATAACATAGCAGAACTGAAAAAGTCTGATAATTGAGTTACAGTGTGACTACATTAATCAAGGCCACCCAAAAGAATGTTAAATCAAAGTCAAAAATCACATTTTTGATGCCAAATAATAGATGAATTGATGAATTCTGGACTGGGTTTAAACTGTTCTTTGTTTGCTTCTGATCATACACACACTCATACATGTATAAAGTGAAATATATGCTTTCAAAGGAAGAAATATGAAAATTTGTATGGTCTGATTCAATTGTTTAAATACTCAAGCGTGATTTGCTGATTTATATGAAAATTTATCTGGGTGGCCTTGGTTGGTGTAATCACACTTTACTTCTACTTTTATTCTAACAAAATCTTTCACTTCTCAATCACTTGCACACACTAATAATTCGTAATAATAACTAATAACCAATCAGCGCAGTATTATATTCAGCTGTGATTAATATTATTATACTTTATTGTTTTACTTCTAGACTAATGATCTGACAGCAGTCTACTTGGGCGTGAAATTCTCTGCACGGTTTACATTAAAGGATATTCAAGAAAGATGGTACGCTCTTCTGTATGATCCTGTGGTTTCAAGGTTTGTTTTTATCTTTAGTTGCATTGACGGGAACGAGTACAAATGTGAGTTTTTAATTTTTAAAGATGGGCACTATCTTTTTGTAGTTGTGGTCGTGTACGTAGATTGAAAATTTAGATTATAAAAAATTGGAAGTCGACTACCATTCAGGGTTAACCACGCGCACAGGACCAATTTTAAAACTCTACCATTTAAAAATTTTATAACTTTCTTCATCGGATGTAAAGGTCACTATCTAAGGATTGGTTGTACCTACATATTATGAAGCTAAATGTCAGTTAGCTCAGTTAGCGGAAGTAATAAGACTACCCTTAAGGATATATGTGATATGTTTTTTTAATATTTTATCTTCAGATTAGCCACATTAGCCATGAAACAGTTGCCTGCAGATGTTGTCACTGCTGCTCAGAATAATGCTTTATGGAACAAGGAAGAAGAGAGCCTTCTTGCCAATATTCCATCGGTATTTAATGGTTTTAATTGTTTCATCAGTAAATCAGTTTCTTACGTACCCATTCAATGAGTGAGTGAGTCAGACAGTTGGTCAGTCAGTCAGTGAACTCAGTTGGTCAGTCAGTGACTCAGTGAGACAGTCAGTAAGCTCAGTCAGTCAGTCAGTGAGCCCAGTTCGTCAATCAGTGACTCAGTCAGACAGTCAGTAAGCTCAGTTAGTCAGTCAGTGAGCTCAGTCAGTGACTCAGTCAGACAGTCAGTGACTCAGTCAGACAGTCAGTGAGCAAGTCTTGTCATTCACCTCTGACCCTTTCCTTGCCATACCTGACCAGAATCAATCAGAAACACCTGCAATACAGGTGTCTGCTCTAGATACTGTGTGTCTGTCAATGAGTCAGTCAAGAATCAATCAATCTTTCGATTCTGATGGAATGATTTAATAGCAAAAAAATATTTCAAAATCACTGCAAAATATTTTGTATTTTGTGATTTCAGTCAAGTCCTTCATCACTTGAAATCTTTCAAGATCAACTAGACAAACATCCTTCAACTTTTCATCCTTGCCGAACTGTTGTGTCACTAAGAAACCATTGGTTGTTAATGAGGCAATACCAACTATTATCAGACCAGTCGGGTGAGTATATACTGCATTAGCATATATACTGTATTATGCTACATACATGTACAGACTTCAATACATTACTATATTCTACTGCATACATGTACAGACTTCAATACATTACTATATTCTACTGCATATATGTACAGACTTCAANATATTCTACTGCATATATGTACAGACTTCAATACATTACTATATTCTACTGCATACATGTACAGACTTCAATACATTACTATATTCTACTGCATACATGTACAGTCAATCCTTGTACAGTACTCTTTAACACAGATACTGTGTAGTTGTTTGTGGAACAAGATTTTAAAACTGCTGTAGTTGTGATAAATAGAATCCCTGTTCTCTGTGAAATTGAATCATTCCAATCATCCAACGTATCTGCTGTCAAGTGTTCATACAGATGCTACCATGCCTGGTGAAAACCAGTGCCTCTGTCAGCCCATGTGTATAAATGATTTTGGGCCGGTTGTTTGAGCACACTGGTCTGGTCGTAGTAGGATAGCCTGGACTAGTGGATGGAAGAGATTTTGTTAAATGTTAGTGGCTCATTTTTTCACCTCGTTCGTATATTATTAGTATATAGGGTTATCCTCAAAGTCCACCTTTTCAAATATCAGTATATCATTTAGTATTTCCTCGCCGGATTTATATATTATTAAGTATATCATATTTTTCAGTTCTAATTTCTGTTTGAATTTTTTAGTTCCAACAGGGGAAAATGCACTCAATTTTTCAGATGTAGAAGAACAAATAAATGATAGTGAACTTCTGTAAGTAATGTGTAATATGGCTGTGTTAATGTAAGTAATGTGTAATATGGNTGTAAGTAATGTGTAATATGGCTGTGTTAATGTAAGTAATGTGTAATATGGCTGTGTTAATGTACTACTAGTGACGTGAGAAACAAACACCACTGTTCTCATGCTGATTAGCTATGCTGCTATAGATCTCACTGATATTCCAATAAATGAAAACATATTTGGTTCTTTAGGCGAAACAAAGATAATATTGTGAATCTGGTTGAATTTCTTTTAGGAGACGTTTGCAATAATCCTGCTTTCATTTACTAATCTCATTTACTCATAACATCAAAATATAAGACAAAAAAGGCATATGACAAAATGAATTTTCTTTAATTAATTAGAGTGGTGGAGGGGGGGGGGGTCTGAAAACGAAAAACAGTAATTATAAAGAAAGAGAAAAAATAGCATAGAAAGTTTTCCTCGCAAATGTTTTTATAATTTCCTATTTTTTATCGAATATTGTCATCATCGCATAAGATGAGTCAAAACCAATCGTTTTTGATTTAAAATTTCAATTACCGACAGAGAACCCAAAGATGACAGCTTAGAACAAGAACTGTCTATTGCTGACAGAAGACAAAAGCGGGAAATACGAAAACTTGAAGAAGAAATCCCAAAATGGCAGGTTATAGTTGATGAGTTCTGTGTGCCTAGTAAGTCATTTTATGATAGAGTGCAAACAATATATCCGTGGAATTCTAGTAATACTAACTTTACACTCTATTTTATGCTAATTCTATTGTTTTCTTTTGTTTAACTAGCACTATTTTGAACAATTTAGTAATTAGTGTTTCACGGATATATTGTTTGCACTCTATTTGAAATCTCTACACTATATAGCTATTTTAAAAGACGTTAAATCGGTGATTGGCGTTTGAACAACCGAAAAGTGACTGTGGTGTTTTAAAATGGTTTCGACTACAAAAACTACATATCTTAACAATAGCATCTGCGTTATATGATAAGAAATCCGAGTCATTCCAGTTATTCTTGCATCTTAAAATAACCTTGTAGCCTATTGCTTATTACCTATCACCGTTCGCCCATTCAATCTTTTTTATAATAGCTATATACACTATATGTACACGTATAATTGTTATATACACTTCCATACCAAGCGAGTGAACGAGACATGAAATGGACTTCCCTCACATTTGGTGCCCGTCACGAGGGAAAACCCTCAACGCTTTACTGCGAAACAGATTCTTAGACTTGCATGGTAACGTGAGGTTTTTCTTGTCATTCAGATAAAAGTGCTACAAGTGGAGTATCATCTAACGAGTTTGATAGTCAGACATTAGCTGTACTGAGAGGGAGATTAGTGAGATATCTAATGCGCTCCAGAGAGGTAAGGCCTGCTCCTTTAAGAAAGAAAAACATTTGTATTGCACCAGAAGTACGTAGCAATATTCATTTGACACTTTCCTTGTCGTTTCACCCTTCAGATAGCTGTTGGTCGATCAACTGCTGATAACCAAGTGGATGTTGATTTATCCCTTGAAGGACCTGCCTGGAAGGTCTCTAGAAAACAGGTATTCGCCATGGCAACCAGACACGCTTTCGTTCGTTGGGAAGGGGTGGAAGGTAAAGGTGCTGACACACGGTGCAACATTGCATGCAACATTGCACGAAACCGGACTGTTGCAGCGTGTGTCTACCCCAAACTTGTTGCATGCATCAACCAGCTTGCACCAAATTTATAACTTCCGACCATATATCTTAACATATTAGGCTGACACAAGCGATGTTGCGTGATTTTGTTGCAATGTCTGTCACCCCGATTCAAGTTTGTTGCTTGCAACATTCTATCCAGGAATGATTAGGGCACTACTACCATTGGCTCTGAAGACTCGGACAAGCCTGTAAATGTACTATTGACTGACTGTCCCAGAAATTTAATTTTATGCTTTTAATAACACGTCGTTTTTGGTGCTTACCCTTCTACTTCAAACTTTAGGCTACAATCCGCTTAAAAAGTGATGGAGAATATTACGTGGTCAACGAAGGTAGACGGCCACTGTTGATTGACGGCAAGCCGATTACCTTAGGAACCAAAGCAAGATTACATCATAACTCTACCTTTGAGGTAAGACCCTTTGGACAAAAGTATCATTCAGAAACTTACTCTCAAGGTTATATACTCATCCAGACAGGGCACCCCGAATTTGGAAAAGACTAAATTAAT